ATAATATGTCCTCCAATGAGTGGCAATCTTTCGTTAATGCTGTAGTTAATAGAGGAGACGATTTTATAATTGGTGGAGATTTCAACGCCTATCATTTTTCATGGGGCAGTAACCATAATTGTCACAATGGCAACGTTATATATAATTCCACAGATCCTGATAATTGTATAATTTTAAATAATGGAAATATTACGCATGTATCCGGTCCTAATTTTTCCAGCTCCTGTATTGACTTGACGTTTGTTTCCCCAGCGCTGGCCTTAGATTGCGAATGGAAGGTTGAGAATAATAATTGGAGAAGCGATCATTACCCGATATCGATTTTTGTGGACACGAGGGCGGAATATATACCGAGGAATCTTTTCAGGATCAATACCAGGCTTATCGACTGGGACAAATATCACGAATTTTGGGAAAGTAATGCCTATGTTTTTAACTCCTTGGACTTTCTAAATTCATCGGTCTGTGACAGGTACTCCTTTTTAGTAAATCAAATTAATACTGCCATCGAACGCTCATTACCGATTAGAAAGACTAAATCTATTCATAGTCAAAATAATAATATCAACGATAATAATAATAAAAAAAAGAAAAATAAAATTCCCGCTATATGGTGGAATGAGAAATGTGAGAAAGCAAATAGACTTAGTAAAGCTAAATGGTTGTCACTTCAATTTAAAATCACTAGAGAGGAGTTTCTCAACTATAAAAAAAATTGAAGCTCAAACCAAGGTTTTTCTAAAATCGGAAAAAAAGTGCATTTAAAAAATTTTGTGAATCTATAATATAAAATAAGGCCCAATAAGTATAAAACAATATGAGTAATAATAAAGGCAATGAGCCAAATACTAAACGCAAGAAAAATTTTTCAAATTAAGTATAATATAAAATTTAAACATTAATACAGACGTTTCGATTCCGATCGGGTCATCTTCAGTGTAACAAACATAAATAAATTATAAGTGTCGCCTATCTATAGATAATGTCAGGAAATTGTTCGCATCTTGAAATTGTAGTCCATCATGTAAAAGTTAATCCAATACAGTAAATTCAATCTAATAAAATTTATATAATTGTCATAAGAATCTTAAATAACATGTTAAACAAGTGTTAAAAGATAGTTACCTTATTAAAAATTGTGTAATAACTAATGTCAATAATGTAAAATTCCATGATGTGTGTGAAAAATGCAATGTCGTCAATGATAAAATGTTATAACAATTCAGATTAATCCAATTCACAGCTTTATCGACTTCTTATGTTAATGTCAAGAAACGCAATGAAGAAATAAATTCTTGAAAAGAGGCAAAAACCAACTAAAAATAGTCTAAGAGGTAGAGAATATTACATTCAATGTGCTTTAAAAACTCAATAAAAGTATGTTCACAATTAAAATTATTGATAGGAAGACCAAAGCCTTCACCTAGTTGTAAAAGATATTTGACTTCTAATGGAATGTCAATATTGCTCAGATTGTATAACCACTTATCATTTAACGAATCTAACTGGACAGCCTCATCAAAACTCTCAGCGGAAATATGTACCTTTTCAGAAATGCAATTCAAAATTTCACTAGGTACATCTTTAGAGATACCAATCGTTCTACTATTGTTATTAAAAGTACTAACATAAGAAATTGGTTTAATATGTGACAATTTATGAATTCGTTCATTTTCTTTTAGCCAATAAATCTTTTGGCTAAATGGTTATCTAATAAAAATGGTTATCAATCTTTTATCTAATTGGTTATTGCCCTAAACAATGTTAACAAGAATTCTGCCCCGGGATTTGATAAAATTGACTTTAAAATTATTGCCAAACTTCCAGATTTCGTGAAAAGAGTGCTTTTGGATATTTATAATGATGTAATTATCTCGGGTGTATTCCCCGAGGAATGGAGAAACTATCTGTGTATATTCATTCCCAGTAAGCAAAATAATATTCCAGCAACGTTATTGAAATGATATTTAACAACATGTAACATTTTGGAATATGTAGTTGTTAACGTTGTATATAACGTTATCGTAAACAAACTTTGACGTACATTTAGAGATTTCAGTAATGTTGATATGGAGTTGCAATATCATTACAACTAATGTTGCGATAATATTTTTATTTCATTAGAACAATGTTGATATAAGGATAAAATATCGTTGGAACTAATGTTGCAGTAATGTTTTTCTAACATTAGAACAATATTCATATGATGATGAAATATCGTTGAAACTAATGTTGCGGTAATATTTTTCTTACATTAGAACAATATTCATATGACGATGAAATAGCAATATTTAGTAAATCAGGGAATGAAATATCATGATGCAAATATGAGAAAAACAAAATCACATCTTTGTTTCTCATATTTACGTTATATTTGCGTAATGATATTTCGTCTTCCGATTTACTAAATGTTGCTGCAATATTGTGCATTGAATTATTCTAATATAAAAGTGAAGTTGCCATAAAGTTTACGTACATACATTTGTCTATCTGGGAATATTCCAACCAAAAAAAATTTTTAATTTAATTTTTTAATTCTTTTTTAATTATTTGTATTATGTACATATATCATCTTTCTTATCATGTAATTAATAATAATAACACATTGAACATATATATGTTTCTGAAAATGCATATCGGGATATCGACGGGATTCGAACCTAAGATCTCTGGGTGGGAACCTAATACGCTAACGCTGAGCTATAATCGCACGCTTGTTTGAACACTTTGGTATTAGACTGTCATTCGTCTTGATCATATAATGGTTCGAATACCGTCGATATCTCATCATATTATGTGTTTTCAAGAATATTGTATATCCAATGGATTGTAATTATAATAAGAAAGTGTAATATGAGAATATAATTATATGTAAATAAATATAAGTTAATTATATGTGTACACAGAAATAATTAAAAAAGTAAGAACTATATTCTGAAAGTGATATAAAAGGTACCTGAGCCGAATAAGGCTCATCCACAGATTTCTATATAATATCTAGTTCGCTACCTCCACAAAATAAGGTGAAGCCAACTTGACAAGGGAGGGGGATAACGGTCATCTTTACCCGGTCATGACTAAACTACAGCATGCTATACCTTAATCTTATAATCGAGCTAAATTCCTCTAATCAAAGCAAAGTGTACGCATAGACTGGAATCAGAATACACATTGAAGATTGAGATTAAAGATTGAAATTTGGCCAATCAAAATAATAGAAACTAAAATTCCTTTATTCTCATTGATCAAATTTCGCAATTTTCAATGCATCAAAATCGACATCAGTTTACCTAAACTTTACAGTATATTTATCTTACTTTATGCGTAAAATAAAGATAAGTTTACAAATCATTTATGCTTACTATGACATCATATAAGAATTACGGCCGGTATTCATAGTCGATTCTTATTTCAAGATTGCCTTAAGTAATGTCTTAAGATGATAAAGCGGCCCTTTGATTGATTCGTAAAGCCCATGGCACATAGAAAAACGTAAGGCCGTAAACGTAATCAGTAAGCGAATTGACCAATCACAGTTGAGAACGTAGCAGCGACTGCTTACATTCTCAACTGTGATTGGTCAATTCGCTTACTGTTTACGTTTACGACCTTACGTTTTTCTATGTGTCATGGGCTTAACTCTTCAAGACTGAACTTAAGAAGGTCTTGAATATTAGAACTGTGACTATGAATACCGGCCTACGAAACCATTTAACAAAATTCAGTATATCAAAATCGACATCTGTTTACCTAAAATTTGCAGTATATTTATCTTACTTTATGCGGCGTAAAATAAAGATAAGTTTACAAATCATTTATGCTTACTATGCATCACATAATAACTGCAAATGTGCATCATTTTATAACGTATATTGCATATAATTATATATGATGTAAATGTTCCTTATAGTAATATCGTAAAAATAATGTTACAAATCTGAAATAAACTTTTCATACATATATGTTATTGCAAAACTCTATGACCAAAAATTTAATCACTGAAATACCTAAATTTTATAATTCCCTTAATGTAAATGTTTTCACTTTTATAATAATAATTAATACGTTAAAAATAGCGAATAAGAGTCAAATTACAATTTAAAATGTCAGTTTTCACTTTTATAATGTCATAAGTAATCATAAAATTGTTCTAAATTTTCAGTAAATTCATTTGTGCATATCGTGATCATCATACAGTCTATCTGAAATCGTATAAAAAATATGAAATATTGTATTGTGTAATATACGTATCAGAGCAACATTTATAAAATATTTAAAATAATATTAAGGAAATATGTTTTAAATATTCGAAAATATATATTATTCGGCAATATTTTAAAAACATTTATATAATGTTATGTAAGAACGTTCATATAATATTTTTATATCATTGCATATATGTTGACTTCATCTAAATAAACATATATTAGAGCAACATTTATAACACATTACGAATAATATTACGGAAACATTTTTTAAATATTGGAAAATATCATATTATTCGGCAATATTTTAAAAACATTTATGTAACATTGTGTAAGAACGTTGACAAAATATTCTTATATCATTGCATATATGTTGACATTATCTAAATAAACGTATTAGAGCAACATTTATAAAACATTTCAAATAATATTACGGAAATATTTTTTAAATATTGAAAAATATCATGTTATTCAGCAATATTTAAACAATATTTATATCACATTACGTAATAACGTTGATAAAATTCATATAAAATCAATGTTTCAAAATGTTAATGTAATGTTCCTTGCTTACTGGGCTCTTTATTCAGCTCTTACATCAGATAGTAATATTTGGGCGTGATGCGCTAGATTCACTTTAGTGTCCGTGCAAAGACTTCAGGATGCCTTCCGGCGCCCGTCTATGGAGGATTTTTGTGGGGTGCCTTTCGGCACCCGCAGGAGGGAGCTACTCTTCAGATGAGTCGGACCCAAAGAGTTCCCTAAGTTGTAGGCGCTTGGCCTTGCTGGCCTTGCGCAGGCGCCCCGGTGTTCGGGGGCGCTTCCTCGGCGTCCTAGGCAGAGGGCTGATCGGCTCAGGCGGCGGAGATGGCCGCGGCGGAGATCTCAATGACCGGCCGGCCTGGCTTGCCACCGATGCGGATGTCACTGGCTGCGGCAGAGGTTGCTCGTCGGTCTGCGTGGCAGTAGACCTGGTGGACACTCGTCGCCTCCGAGGATCACTGGGAGCTTTCTCCGGGCTGCCCTCCAGCAGCGTCAGATGCCAAGGGAGAAAGGTGATCCCTGCTAAGGTGTCCAGTGGTTTCTCCGTAACTGGGAGGTCCGTCGGCTGTGCTGGTTGTCGTCGCTGCGGCTGGTATGCGACACCCTTCCTCGCGGTCGGGATGCCCGGAGGACCAGGGCATCGATCACGTATTTTTCAGTGACATCGTTCACTTTTAGATTTTCACCGGCGGCCATCTCACGGTTTCACCATTTGTTATTTTCACTGCGATCATCTAGCGAAAGAAATGATTAGTGACATCACTAGAAGTGGTGAGACCTATTCACATGAAAATATTCCAAAAATCATACCGAAGACAACTTCACGATTCTAAACCGATTAATACCTATGAATAAAAACACCATTAGTGGCAATAAGAAAGATAGTTACTAATAATTGTAAGTTGCAACAATTAACTTATTAATTAGAATACATAAACATTTATTTGAAAAATTTCTCCAATTTAGTATATGTATTTCAGTTTAAAAATGAATGTTACATATAAGCAAAGAGAAATTTTATTAACGTATATGGAATCCCATCGTGAATTATTACAAGGACGATTAAGCAGGAAATCGGAAAGCCGCAGGACAATGGTATTATTATTAATGCACAATGTGTGTTATATCAAAAATATGTTTTATTTAAATATTAGGATATACATAATATAAAATATAGGGTGCGTTCCGAGTCGCGCATGAAGCGCGTAGACTGCATAGAAAGTCGTTCCGAGTTAACTATTGCGCGCTTCGAAAGCGTTTCGAGAGTACTTGAATTCTCCAGATTGTACTAACCGTACTGAATTCTTAGCACTCCACTCAGCGCATTGACTGCTTCTCTTTCGACCTGAGGCAGTTGATGCGTCTGATGCGTTCATGCGGTCTATGCGCATGATTTGTAATTCGGAACGAGCAACGAGTACCGGACAATACAATAATGAACGGACGAATATTTGCGATTTGCGATGGAACAGCGATTACAGCAATTGCATGATTTCCCGGTCTTATTAGAGGATAAAAATAAAGTATTAATTTTATTTTTAAATGAAGAGGATATGGCGAAAGTAAGCCAAGATAAAATTAATGGCATTATTCAACAAAAATTAAAAGGGCGAAGTAAGAGTCAGAAGTAAATTACATTTAAAATAATATTAAAATGTTAACATATTTACAATAGAAATATTACAAAAATTGCTTAACAATTGTTACGCGCAGCATGTTTTTAATTTT